TAGAGCGGCGAGGCTGTCACGTCTGGGAAGCCTTGGGGCACCTTTCTCCCAAACAGGATCAGGAGAGGAAACGAAGGCCTAGAATCTCACGGGGCCTCGGAGGACTAGGCTTACGTCCAGGTGAGCCAAAGGAAGGTCTCTGCAGGTTCGGGTCTATGAGCCAAGACTCCCAGAATTCTGGCTGAGGAATTCTTGAAGATCCAGGGGGTGGGAGTCCAAAACACAAATAAAGGAACGCCCTCTCCCGAGTTGTTATTTAGAGGGGTGGGGGAGAGCCTTCTCTGTCCACCTCTTCATCTTTGCGGCCTGGATCTGGAGATCTGGCCTTTGGTGAAATCAGAGCATCCATTCCTGTGTTTTTAGAAAACACACGAGCTTCTAACTCAGGTGCCTGCTGTAGCTGTCTTCGGGTTTTTTGCTACCTTTTGCAAAGGGGCAGATTGGCGGGCTTGCTGGCTTGAGCTTCAGCGCTTTTTCCCTTTGACCCTGCGAAGGGCTGACCGGGGATGCGATGGCCCTGCATTTCGTGAGCGGCGGTGGAGGGCTGGTGGTGGGTAAACGGCGGCACCAAGCCTGGTTTTCTGGAGTCCCTACGTTGGAGACCGAAGCACACGAACCTTCGGTATTCTCTGTACGAGGGTCATAAAATCGTGCAAAATAAAGGCACATTCACGCCAGCGTGAGTTGCAAGATTCAGTGGCATGTATAGTATAAGTGCCCTTCCCAAAGTATGTTTTCTCTTCTGAATATTTAACTAACGGGCTTTGATTTCTGGATGGGGTGGCTGGCACAGTCTTGCTTAATATTTGGGTTTTCCTTCCTCCTTCTTCTTCCCCCCCTCCATCCCCAGGAGCAGAGAAACTCAGTGGCTGCCCCCTGACAGCCTTGTGAGTAGGAGGATTTAGGGGTGGGGGTGAAAGGGGCCAGAGGGGGGATTGGAGGGTTGGTGTTTTGTTATGGATGAGCCCCACGGGCTGGGGGGGGATGGGTGTTGTAATAGGACAGACCTAAACTGGAGGAGGCAGGGACCCCAGGGGTACCTGGGCTGCATGTTGGGATGCGATGGGGGTTAGGGAGGGTGGGGAGGGTTCCCAGGGAGGATCAGGACCCCCATCCCCATCACCCCTTATTTCACCTGCCTTTTGACTCCTGGTTCTTTCTGTCTTGCAGGGCTCTGACCATTACC